CCCTGAAAAAGGGATTCTTCATCTCAGCGGGACTATCCTGGTTAAATAAAGGACAAAAAAACATTCCAGGCAAAGCAATAACAGCACCATGAAGAAAAGCACTTGACAGACTCTCCACTACAAAAGTTACACAATGCCCCTTTAAGTCCTACAATTAGCATGTTGTTTGACATGACTTTTAGTTTAGTTGTAAAATAGGAATGGATAATATCCACTAAAAATAATAATCAAATTTTTCGCTTTGATAAGCATATTTTATTTTGGGAACCCTTTAAATATATTTGTTTATGTATCAGACAAATGTCAAAGAGGAAGTGTAAAAGAAATTACCCCAAAAAAAAAGGAAAAAAAAGGAAAAAATTGAAAAAAAAATCAGACTGAGTTTTAGAGTTTTTAGAGAGTTTTTAAACTGAGCACTGTTGGCATAGAAATAATCAATTCACAACTAAATATTCTATTATTTTAGTGGTGGAAAGTCCTCAAAATGGTACCTCTAATCTAGAAACTGAAATCCATGAATAAACATACATTTTTTACTCAGTGGCAAATTTATCAGCATTGTGTATACTGTAATTTTAGCAATTGGCAGGCCACTTTATCATTACCTTCTGTTCATTAACTCCCTTCATATAATCCATGATACGAAGTTTCTTATTATAAATAGCAGTAATCCATATTTACATGCACATTAACAGCCCCTTTTCAAATCCCACAGATCCCCACTGTTTTCCCTTACGCTGCTGTAACGCTCTGTAATTAGACTAATGATTTAAATCCAGAGAGGCAGCCATTAATTACACGCTTCTATGTAATTACTGTTCTTTGGTGCTTCCATTTGAAAAGCACAACTAACCTACATCTTTGTTTGGGACTGTGCAGAATTTGCATATGGTGGACATCCCTATCCTTTCAGTGGCATCTTTGAAATCAACCCTGGCAATGCTGCTGAGCTCGGAGAGACATTCAAGTTCAAGTAAGTAAATCACATTTTTTCTATAGTGGTAAAATTGTGCTTTGAATATTGCAGGTATAGATGAGCAATTCATTTTTTTTGTTTGTTTTATTTTTTTACTTTTAATAATACAATTCTGTTCAAAGTTCACATTTTTAAACATGTCCAGAAAAACTGACAAAAAATATTGAAATATAAACTGACAAACTAAAAGAATCACATTTCAGAGCATGTTTGTGCAGATCTAAACTGCAGGGTTTAGCAGTTGTAAGCACAGGATATTTTGTATATTTTGTATATTTTGTTTGTGGAGAAAATTAAGGTACTTAAAAAATTACTAAGTGTGCTATTTACTAATGGCATCCAAGAATACGTTTTCAACATAATATATTTAATCATAAAAAATGTAATTCTTTCATTTAAGCGTATTCTTTTACATGGTCCATTTAGAGTACTGTATTCTGAATACTTAAACTACTTTCACATTAAGTTGCATTATATTATTGTGCAGAGGAATAAAAGTACTTTGTTTGTTGCAATATTTATATACACAAATTAGAGAAGGAAAAAGGAGAAAAGGAAAAAGTCCCATATGCACTTAACACAAGAGGAATGTTATCATTGTTTTTAGTAATGCTGGAAAATTCAAAGCCTAAACTGCCTGATCAAGTACTGACATGTATTGATTTTTGTAAAGTAAGAATGTTAGAATGTTGTTACCTCCTCAGAAACACACCTGGAGTTGTATTTTGTTTCATTCACACATGTTTGAGTTTATTATTAGTCTGTCTACATCTCTAAAGCTCAAAATGCTCCATTCCACCTTGTGATGTCATGTAGGTAGTTTTCAAGTTCACAGCTACCTTTTACCTTTTGTTCACCAGAGATTGGGAATCTCAGGGCTTGAATTACCTAAATGACTCTAGTGAAGGTGTATGGAGTTTGAAAACACAGTGGAGCATTTCCTGTATCACCACATGGCATCACAAGATGGAACAGAGTGCTTTCTGCTTGAGAGAAGGACTCAGCCTAAATATACAGGAACTGTGTGTTAAACATATATGAATAAAGAAAAACAAAACTCCAGGTATGTTTAAGATGTTTTTGATTAGAAAATGGATGAGAAAATATGGGCCCTTTAAATGAAAAGTAACCAGAATACAGTTAGTCACAATTACTATTCTGAATACATATTTTAGTACATGTATTCAGTTACGTTCCAGCATTGTTCATATCTGTTTGTACTAAACAGGGAGGCCATTGTTCTGGGCACCACAGACTTCACAGAGGAGGACATCGATAAAATCATGGAGGAGCTGGGAAAGGAGTTCAAAGGGAACGCGTACCACCTGATGCACAAAAACTGCAACCACTTCTCCTCCTCACTGTCAGAGGTAGGTCCAACACAGCCCTGTCCAAAGTCCAGAACATTGTGCCCCAAATATATCAGAAAATCCTGCCTGACATATAACATTTAGCTCTATTTAAAGGTGCACTATGTAGCTTTTCTTGTGGACATCTGTCACATGTTTGACTCCATAGAGATGTCACTGCTTTGTCTAAAATATTTAATAGTATATCATTAAAATTAACTTAATATATTTATTTACACATTTTCATTGCCCCAAAATACCTTAAAAAAAAGGTGCATAAAAACATAAATGTGAGTGTGATTGATTCTTCACAGATCTGGCCCGTAACTTGTCCTGCTTGTGTCCATGGAGATAGATGAGCTTATGAGGCCAAATTGTGGAACATTCCAGGCAAATCTAGGAAATCACCATGGATACAAGCTGGTGGCTAGCACTTGATCTGAAAAGTTAAAAGAAAGAACCTTTAAAAGAAAATATACAGTGTTCAGTGTTTCTCACAAGTTCATATTGAGACTAAGGTGACACCATCCACGATCCATATCTTATGCAATACAATATATGTCAACATAAAAGTTGACAAAAGGGATAGTCTCCTCTACTATTAGGAAACACTGGCCTCAGTGGCTGTGCAGACTAACCAAAAGAGGGTCAGGTGGATTTTTGTTATAACATTAAAGAAATTCATAATGCCAAAATGCTCTCTTGTTGTTCGTAGTTGCTGTGTGGGCGTGAGATTCCACGCTGGGTGAACCGCCTGGCGTACTTCAGCTCCTGTATCCCGTTTCTCCAAAGCTGCCTGCCCAAGGAGTGGTTGACGCCAGCCGCACTGCAGTCTCACATCAGCATGGGCCTACACAAGGACGACCAGCACGACTCCAGCGATGATGACCCAAACTCTCCATCAGGGGGCGCTGCGACGGGCTGCTCCTCCCACGGTTGCCGTCACACCAGAGTCTGACCCACGCTACAGAGATGTACTATCACATTGAACTGTGGGTCCCTCGTTCCCATTGGCCCAAACAACCACCTGACCTCTAGAATATGGGAAATAGCTGCTGCCACTGTTAGGACAAGCCATGGCCTCTGTAAAAATACAAGAGGCAAACTTTAATTTTGAGCTGTGAAAAATGCTCGGACTTGACAACAGACTGCTACAACTTTGTATTTATTACTATTAGTCTTTTCCATGGAGTTTTAAACTTTTGTCCCTGGCTTCAGAGCTGTTTGTTTTTAACCAGATTCCTACCCTGAGATATAAAAATGTTGGGACAATGGGTGGAAAAATATCACAAACACATTTTGTGCTGATCTAATAGAAGCCTTTTGTTCACAATGAGACATACCACATATCAGGTATTTTGAGTGTTTTTAACATCAACGTAATAGACCACATTCAAATCAAGCAGTAAACTTTCTAGGGGGGAGATCCTAATCCTTGCAGCTAATAACACGCATATAATATTGAATAAACAATCCCATACAGACAAGTTGCTGCTGTCAATCTCCAACATAAAAAAGCTTCATGTGTCCATTGTGAAAAAATGCATTTATGGATTCTGCAAATGAGTGTGGGCAGTTAATCACATATTTATTGGTGTTCCCAACTGTTTTTAATATAGGCAAAACAAAAGACTGTTCATATTGGGGAAATAACCAGGTAAACCCCTTTTCTTTTAAACAGTAATTTTTGTTCAATGACCTCAATGTGGCCTTCAGTTAATAGTGTTGGATACATTTTCTTTGGCCATTTTTAGAGGTAACTTTAGAACGAGGATTTGACTGCTCCTCAGAATGAGTAAAGAAAATGTTGCATGTTGAAATGACATGATAAACAGGAAATCTATCTGAAAATTATTCCTATGGTGCAACCTGCAAATGAGTCAGGGTTTTTGCAGGCCCTTAAGTCAATTTGGAAGTGAACAGCTCTGGCACTGAAGAACTACAACTATATAAGCAAATTATTAATTCAATAAACTAATATCATTGCTACCTTGTCAAAGTCTATGAGAATTCTATGCTGTGTAATTCATAATTTATTGTTAATACTTATGAATTTTTCAAATCAACTCCTTGCAAAAACCCTGCTTTGTTGCAAGACAAAAGCAAAAAGTGTTCACTCATCTCAGAAGAGCTGAGCTGCTCTAAATGCACAACTGGTAACTTTGTCTTGTTTTTATTGGAAAATAAGAATTACAAGTATGGAACAACTTCTAAAACATGACTATTCCCAATCCTAGAGGTTTGTTTCCTAACAATATCACAATTTAAGTGGATTCCTTAACAAATATATATCAAGACTGTGTCCTTTTGGTGCTCTTCAATCTATTTTAATCAGGTATAAAGGTGTCATTGCTAATGTATGCTTGGAATGAATGAGATAGAGAAATGGTGATGCTAAATAATACATTATCCAACTGGATTATATTAAATAGTCTTTTTAATGGAGCTATGTTGAAACTGTCACGTTAGTACAGTATGTTTTTTTTTTCTCATCTGAGAATGCACCATCCAACTTTTACAAACATTTGAATAAGGGTTGAATTGTGCATAGCTTGCACAGTGCTTACTTTACTCTTTCTTGTGTGTGGGATTGGCAGAAAAAGTATACAAATTTATGAGCCCTTAATTCTTCTTTTTTTTACATACAAGGTTCTCACTTGCACTATGATAGACTCTACAGTTAATTTAAATATAACGTCCTAAATAGTTAAACCCTCAGGTCCAAGAAAGTCCCATAATTTGAAGTAAAAAACTAAAAACAACATACACATGTTGCTACATGAGATTTTGGTTTAATATAAAAAAATATTTGCACTTTCTTATAATTTCTAATTTTAAAATAATTCCAGGCATACTGACATAACAGTTGAGCTATGTTTTGAACCAAACTGAAATTATTTACTTTTCCTTGCCTTTTAGTCTGCCTTTTTGATTTAACTTTTAATTCCTCTTATGTTTTATTTATGGCATTCTGACAGTTACAAGTGTAAAATCAGTCAGTCCAGATTCTAACATTTTAAGGAGCCCTTTTACAGGAAAATCTTAACATTTTACCCATTTTCGTTGTTCCTTTATTTATTTGTTATTGGTCACGGAGTGTCTTATGTATATATTTTAGTTGACCATGATTAGTATTACTGACAACTTTTACACAGCAAGTATTTTTTTCCCATTGTGTCGTCAATGTCCACCCAAACGTCTTTCCTAACAATTTCAAGAATGATCAACGTAGTAGAATAAAGATGGAACAAAAATGACTGGGTTTGTTTGTCTGGTACTTCCACTCATCACCACCAAATGCATAAAACAAATCTCACATATTTAGTGTTTTTTTTTTTTTTTTTTTTGTTTTTTTGATAACATTACTACAAAGAAATATTCCAATAAATGATAAAATTGAAACTACTTTATGCCACTGACAGAATAACAAGAAAGCAAGATAATTCCAGTACTGTTAACCAGTTTTTAAATATGTATCAATGAGCTGAAACAAATAAACAGCAGAATACAAATTATTTATTCTACCCTCTTCAGTTCAAATCATACTTTTCTTACATCAAACTGGCAAAATTCTCATCCCTTTTGCAGAGAAATTGTACGCATGATAAATATTGAACACAAAAATATATTGATCCAGCTTTCATTATTGAGCCTCGATATAGAAATGACCATGATGAGCCTAGGACCTGAGCTAGGAATTGTAATACATTCATATTGCGGTGTACAAAGACACTGCAGGCAAAGAGTATTACGTGTCTTGCCCACAGAAATATAGCAGCGGTAGTCAAACAGTCAACCATTGGGTCAGTGGGTAAATGCAAATTAGCCACCCATAATCTACAGGAAATGGTCTATGATCAGTCATTTGGGGCTTTAGGGTGAGCAGCACATAGCCAGCCATGTTACTGACACTACCTTAAAGACAGGAATGTCAAATTTGGAGTTAGAGTTTTCTTGGTTACAAATAATAAGCAAAGGACACATTTAATTTAAAAATAAACAGAGCACCCCTTAATATCTTACAAAATACAACATTTATAGAAGAATTAATCAAAAGGTGTTATGGTTACCGTTTTTGGATTCAATGCTCCAGTGAGTGATTTCTCGTACCTTCTAAAGAAATAGAAAACTTTCAAACGTCCAAACATACCGGTTTGGATGGATTAATCCTATCTGTATTTCAAAATTGTCAATCAGCAAATTAGAAGTGACATCACTGAAATTGCAAAAACTTTTTAAACTTTTATAAACTATTAATATGTTCTTCCATGTTAATAACTGAAACAAAAGCAAAATTCAAAGCCATATATATGTCTGATTTTATGTCAACAAATGCCAACTTTTGTGATTAAATTTTTTTTACAAGGGTGGACAATATGCAAAAAAGTAAGTTTCAAAGTAAAATTCAAACTGACCACATTTCCCGTAAATATAGTGTTGTATTTAGGAACTAAAACCATTTCATACTTCTGAGAGCTCACACTTCAATGTGACTGGTCAGATCCACTTCTCATTCACTCATGCATGACAGCGATTCTATGTACGAAAATAAAACCGCATTATTGCCATTTTGTCCCGCATTAAATCTCACAAAAATAAGGTAGAAGTCCTTTAAATCCAAATGGTGGGCCTTCTTCAGCTGTTAAGGCTGTAGTGTTTATTATTCTGGGGTTGCTGTGACTGAACCACTCATTTGTGAGGTGGCAGTGTGCGACGCTGTTTGACGCACAGAAGAGTCTGGGTCATGGTTTTGGACACGTCACATCTATTGGAACAGATGGGGCACCACACAAAAAGCTCTATTAGTTTATCTTCCTCCACAATGAACTGCAACTTTTGTGGAGGGACTTCTTTCCTAGAAAAATATGAAGACAGTTATTAACCAAAAACATACTTAAGTGGTGTCCAAGTAAATTGAGCTCATTTTAGCCCTGATCATAGACTGTGTATATATGGACATATATACATGGACATAGCTAACCCTCTAGCCGCTGTGTTCCAGTTAGAATGAACATGGGGGCGCTTCTAGTTCCATCGGCTCCAATTGATTTTACATAAAAGTCACTCCTTCTCTGTAACTACAGAAAGCCTCGCCTCATTTTGGTCTTCAAATGTTCGTCTTTATATACGGTCGTGATGGGGACTTGGTTTAGTTGTTGTTTAGTACTGTTCTAGTTCAGGTTTAGATTTTAGTTTAGTCTTGGTTTAGTCACAGTTTTAACGTGGTGAATGGGCAAGTGTGAGCTCTAACAAAAAATCTTTATCTGGACAAAAACATATCATGTGCTGAGAGAGTCAAAAACAGAAGAGCAGTAATTACACCAAAATGACACAGGAAACATGAAAGTTTGATCAAGATATTCTCAGGCTTTATCTAGGTCAAATTTAGAAATATCTCATATGCAGATCATGTTTTAATAACTAATTGATTGGTCAAACAATATTTAATTGATTTGGAAATCAATCATTAGTTTACACCTCCACATTACTACCTTGTACAGTCGTTGTTCTCACAAGGACGTGGCATTATCTCTCAAAACTATGAATTGTCCAAGCATCTGACCCAGACGGCAATATCAGTCTAAGTACTAAGTAAACAATGTCTTCATGTGTAAACTCATGATTCATCCCCAGAACTCGTGCTTGCTCACTTCTTGCTAGACATGTCATGATAATGACTATATCAGCTTATCTTTCAATAGATGATAGATGGAACAATATACAGAATATAAAACACGAAGGACTCCAGGTACTCCAAAGAAGTAAAAATCGCATGAGGAAACACAAAGTTAAAAGGCCTTTATTTAAATGGCCAAAGCCAACATGTTTCGACCAACCTGGTCTTCATCAGGGCTTAGAAACTATCTAACTAGCTTTCTGTTGTGTCTACATTGGGGCATCTTAAAATTATTTTTTTTTGTCAGGACCGGCCCTGTCATTTTGGCTCAAATTTGACCAAATTTTCAAAATGCTCAGAACTGGGTAGAAACATCCCCAAACAACCTCAGACCACCCCAGATGTCCATATTGGAGCATCTTTTGTCATTTGAAGGCAGTTTGGGGAGAAAACCTGACATGTCCAAAAATGAATTTTTTCGTCAGGACCGGCCCTGTCGTTTCAGCTCAAATTTGACCAAATTTTCAAAATGCTCAAAACCTCAGACCACCCCAGATGTCCATATTGGAGCATCTTTTGTTATTTGAGGGCAGTTTGGGGCCAAAACCTGACATGACCCCCTGTATTGAAAGATTTCTTGAGTAAGAGCAATGGCATAGGGTGTCTCCTCTGTACTGAGGGAAGAGACAGCGTTGGGACTGCATTGGGGTGCAGACATAGGTGTTTACCAAAACCCATCTCAACTTCCACCAAGTTAGTGAAGGAATCTTGAGTAAAATGTTCGTTACAAATGCCCGGCCGTTTTGGGAGCTCTGCGTTTTCATTATGGCCGCATGCGCGCACCCACTGACGCCAAAGCTCCGTGTCTCATAGAAAGCCGTGCAGTCCAGTGGACTTGTGACAACCTAATACGCAACACTTACGAAGACCACCCGTTCAGACTGCTTTAGCACTGATTTGCAATATTAACCAGTGTAGTTACTAAAGTCCCGACAGATTCCCAAACAAACCATCTATCACAACATGGGTTTTCAAATCTAAGAACAAAGTCACAAAGCGTTTCCGGTTCCGTGTTTCGTCGCCATTTTGCTACAGTTCGTGACACGCAGCAGCAGCAGCAGCAGCGCAAAGTTTCAGCCAGCGACAGAAACAAGCTTATTGTCGCTTTCAGGGGATTTTTTTGGTAAGATCAACAGGGATACAAGCAGTTAATGAGCAAGTTAAAAATTATATTGTATTCCGTGTTCATATAAGCTTTGCGATTGTTAAAGCTATCACCATGCAACGTAATCGGTAGAGCAGTAAGCTAGCTAACTGCTAATATTTTTCCAACTGCGCTTTTGCTTTTCACACACATACATTTGTCTAAATAGTTAATACTAATTATATTTATTTATTTTAAAAAAGTGTGATTTTCTACATTTGCTGAAAAGAATACTCCCTACGACATCGTGTTTTGTTGTCTCGGCTGAAACATTATCGAGCTGGCGGCCATCAGGAGCTCTTTGGACGTTGGTCGAGACACTCTAGCACATTGTAGGCCCAGGTTTTTCTGAGCTGCAATATTCAGTTCAAATGGCTCTTATTTAATTTTGGAAATGTCTCAGTTCGATTTATTAAATTTCAGTCTCAGTTCGGGTTCTAAAATTTGAAAGATGCTGATTTTTTTTTTTTTTTTTAAACAATATTCAAAAGGCTTATAATACCACGGCGCAATCCGTGCTATCATTAACATATAATGATGAATATAACTGTTACGCTTAGTTATATTTTTATTTTTCCATTTTTTTTCTTGCATTGTTTAAAAAAAAAAGTTTTTAAAGACATTTTTAAATATCCACATTCTTTGTTGTAGTGCTTTTACGCAGTATAAGTGGCTTTTCAGTTAGTCTTTTGTTATTACTGTGGTCTCATTATCATCCAAAAAGATCTTTGCCCGTGCTATTTGCATTGAAACAGGAGCAGACATGGCTAATACGAACAAACTGGTCTGGCAAGAAATCCCTAATCTCGTCTCAAGATTTTAACCAATCCAGAACTGCAATTTCACATTCGGACCACCCACTGTAAATGTAGCACCTGTACTACCATTTTGATCAGTAGTAACTAACGAGAGAGAGAGTGTTTGTGTGCTCTTGCGTCTGTTCACCATTTGGCTCACTTTGTGTACGACTTTGTTGTTCTTCAGTTCGAGATGAGTGGCTGTCGTGTTTTCATTGGCCATTTGAGCCCACACGCCAGAGAGAGGGACGTGGAGAAGTTTTTTAAAGGATATGGCCGAATCAGGGAAATAAATTTGAAGAATGGTTTTGGGTTTGTGGTAAGTACATTTAACGCTGTGTTTAATTTACGTGTTACAACTGTGTACAAATGGGGTTCACTCTTCTTTTTTAGGAGTTTGATGACTACAGAGATGCAGATGATGCTGTGTATGAGTTGAATGGAAAAGACTTATGCAATGAAAGGTAAGTATCCCTCTTGTAATATAAACTATCTAAAACAGGCCTACAGATGTGTGTGTTTGTTTGGGTAGTATTAGTGGTAGCCAGTGAGAGAGACTTTAAGGTTTTAATTGAAAACAATGTGTAAAACAGTCTATTTTCTTGAAAGTTATTGGAGTGTGTTAACATTAACAAGAGTTGGTTAATCATATCTCACACCAATGCCATTGTCTGTAACAGATTCACATGGACTTGGCAAATACCAGTTTAGTGTGCCAATTATTTAATATGCATTTCCTAAATTCCAACCAAAGATTGTAATGGAGACTTTTTTTTTTGTCAAAAAAAAAAAATCCCAACATGTGTGCTGTTAATTATTCTATGAGATTTGGTAGTTAATTATTCACTGCTAGTTGTAGTGTGCTCCACAAACTGTCCTTTGTAGAGGGGACATTTTGTTTTGTTTTTACTGTAAATGTATACAATATTTTATACTAGTTGCTCCATAAAATAATATGTATTTTCTTTATTTCCCAGGGTGACTGTTGAGCATGCTCGGTCCAAGAGAGGTGGAGGCAGAGGAGGTGGTCCAGGCATGGGGCGTTTTAGCAGTTATGGCTACCCTTCGTCTCGTAGTGCAGGATCCAGGTGAGCTCCTGTTTGAAAATAAACCATATACAAAGCACAGACAAGGAGCTTTTGTTAGTCATCTGGCCTGAGTCAACAATGGTGTGAAGGGGCTCTTGTTCCCCCCTGAGGCCAAACTGAAATACTAACTATTAAGGAAGCAGAGATCTTTGGTTTAAGTGAATGCTTTTCCTGTTTCACAGATATGGGCCGCCTGTGCGTACAGACTATAGGCTGGTTGTGAAGAACCTCTCCACGCGCATTAGCTGGCAGGTAAGAGATCCATTTGAATCTCTTATCACTTTTTGTACATACTTCCAATATACAATTTTGTAGTATGCATTATATTAAGAAATTGGGTCTATTTTAGTCATAAATGCTTGATGATAGCTTATAACATACAAGGTCCCCAGATAGACTTCCATCTTGAGTTTTCCTGTAACTGCTGCCCTGATATGGTCTCCTATTATCAGAGACACATCCTTTTGTGGAAGTGTGTAGTGCCCTCTGCTGGTTGTTTTTCTCAATAGTGTCCATTTGGTGCCTTTCCTCACACGCAGTTGCTGCCGGTCTAAAGTCTTGGCTGGTCTAGCGCAGGATACGGTAGCCTTAGGAGGTTCTGGGCTGGCTCGCCCGTCAAATCTACGGCCCCACTCTCTCCCATTTGGTCTAATTGTTGCTGCTGAAGCTGGGGGCGTGTGGACTTGGGCGCACACCCCTCGCTCTGCTTGCTCTGGTGGTCCTTACTTTGGAGGCCGGATGCTGAGTCAAGGCCGTGGCCGGTTCTCAAGGGCTTAACACTGCATTGGTCCCATTTGCTATTTGGACAAGTGGCTCTATTCTTGTGTCTTCCTGGGTTTGGAACGGTGAGTAGCAAAAACTCATAGTTTAAACAGGGCTGGGTGGTGTTGGGGTCAGGGCGAAAACACTTGTCTATACATTTTTGCATTCAAATGGATAGACTTGCAGTGACCATATATATCAGCATTAACTGCATTGTCATTGGACTGGGCAGTCAAATTTAGTTGTGCCTGGACCATATTGCACTTGTGTTTGACAAAGTGCAGTATAAATGGGAGTATTAATGCTTTTTTTTTTTTTTTTTTTAAACATCCTTCCATTTGTATATGGGGTGAATGTTTTTGGCTCTGGTCCTTGGCTTTTAATACCATAGTGATAAGTTTAACTCACTATAAAACACGTAATGTTTGCCCAGTCTCGCCGCCAGGATAGCTGTAAATTAGTAAAATCTGATAATGTTTTGAACTCAGATTTTTGTCTCATCAAATACAGTATTTCTTGACACATTATGACCTCCATTTGTATGAAATACCACCTCGTTCACATTGGTTTGCTGTGGATGTCACCAGTACACACTTGTTACTTGTTTCTTTCCCTCAGGTCTGAAGGCTATCATCTAAAAAGAAGATTGTACAATGTTTTACTAAATATCACATTACTATTATTACAGGACCTTAAGGACTTGATGAGAAAAGCTGGAGAAGTCACTTTTGTGGATGCTCACCGTCCCATACAAAATGAAGGGTAAGAAATTCTGCTATGGTTATATGCTTTCACACAAAGATTAATTTATTTTTTAATAAATTTGAATTGACATCATCATCTTTTGCCATTGCAGTGTGGTGGAGTTTGCTTCCCGAAGTGATATGAAGAATGCCCTCTCCAAACTGGATGGGACTGACTTGAATGGACGCAAAATCAAGCTGTATGAGGACTCCAAAGAGTAAGTGTTTGATGATAATGTATGATCAAAGTACCTCCTGCGATGCTTTTTTAGTATCTATTAGCTACAGGGCATCAATTCTTGATGCCCAAAAGACACTGCAGTAAATTTAAACCACTGTCTATTCTGTACAACATATGGACAAATGTAGCATAAAATGATGTTCTGCACATAAAAAAAATCTAATAGCAGCTTTAGTAGTAGTCTGCTCATAAACTAATTTAGTAGAATGATCACATTCACCTTATTCTGCTAGGAACTGCTCTTCCGTTGTTGGTGGCACTATTAGTTAAGCTGGAATCCTGTTGATGAATTAAAATCCTATAAAAGTGTTGCAGGCTAAAATGTTTGCTGTATAAGGTGAATGACAGACTGTATAGCCCTTTTCACAATGGTTGATTTTTCTCTTTATTTTATGTTGTCTGCCATTTGTTTCTTGAAGCCCAGACTAATTGCGTCTGTCATCTCTCCTTCAGTCGTAGCCGTTCTCGCTCACGCAGTTACTCGAGGAGCCGCTCCCGAAGCCGTGGTCGGTCCAGGTCCAGGTCCAGGGGCCGCAGCAGGTCCAGGAGCAGGAGCAGGAGCAGGAGCAGATCCAGAGGCAGCCGGACTCCAGAGAAGAAGAGCTCCGGCTCCAACAAGAACTCCAACAAATCCCCTCCAAGGTCTAAATCCAGATCCAAGTCCCGTTCTAGATCTAAATCCAGGTCTAAATCTCATTCCAAGTCCAGATCTCCCTCCCCAGCTCCTGTTCAGAAAGCACAATCTCGTTCTAAATCTCGCTCCAAATCTCGCTCTAAATCTCGTTCCAAATCTCGCTCCAAGTCCCGCTCCAAATCCCGTTCAAAGTCTCCCTTCATATCTCCCTCCAAGTCTAAGTCTAGATCCAGGTCTCGATCCCGATCTCGTTCAGCCTCCGCAGATAGCAAACACTGAAACTTCCCTTGTACCATATTACAAGACTGGTTGTAATCTTAATTTGTTTTGGTAATGGAGAGGAGAATATTGCCTTTATCTTAACTCCCATCTTAAATAGGGCCAAGAGCAGCTCTGATTTAAGTAATTTATTTTTGGACATTTACATTTTTTGTTTCAAAACAGTTTACTTAAATCAGTCAACTTTATTTTATTAACTTTTGGTGGAGAAAACGTCAGCCTGCGATCTGCCTTGTAGCCCTACAATCCCTCTACTGCTTTGCATTGGGCTGTATGCTAATATTAGATGATGCATTTATTTTTACATTGATGATAAACTGTGATTAACTTCTAAAAGGCACTAACAAGGTCCTAGTTTGGCATTTACAGCCCTTAAATCTAAAGGAAATCTCATTGGTAATGTGTAAAGCTCTGCAGTAATCTTGCTATCCAAATTTTATAGATTGAAGTGTATGAGGGCCTTGTCTGTTCAGTGTCTGATTTTTTTTTTTTTTTTTTTTAGTTTGCTGATTTGTTAAATGTCATTCCAACAGGAAATTGTGTCTTCATTTGATACTAATTAAAGCATTCATACATTTTCTTTATGTATGTAGCAGTGTCCTGAATATATGCTGTGTATTGTTTGTTTCTTTAAAAATGTTGAATGTGAAATTGAGCTTGCATATTGAGGAAAATAAAACTTAAAAATAAGGCTTTGTTTGTTATATATAAACATAATGGGGATTTCTAGGGGATTTGATGTAGGCCAACATGATGTATGTTAACATCATATTCTAGTATGTAGGTAGCTACTTATGGTTTCCTTTGAGTGCCTACTCCAGATTTCTTAACACAAATGTTAAGCTGACACTGTCGCACATTTTACAACTCACTTTCTTAAATTACTGTAAACTGTCATGTCATATGTAGGGCCTTGTGAATATAATTATCATTGACAAATTGAATCTCAGGGCTTCATGTGAGCTTCCTTTGTCTTTCAACCACTACAAAATGCAAAGTAATATAATATAGAGCAATTGTGGTACAAACACAGGGCAAAACTATTACTGCTGTTGAGTAGTTCAATATAAAATCCATTATTAGGATGATGAAAAAAACTGCCAGCCTGATGCATTTGCCTTAAGTCACCAGAAGAGGGCCATGTCTGACCACAGCTGGGCTTTTGACTTTCGTTTAGACCTTAAATAGAACAAAAGATAGATTTTGCAGTTTAATTTAATTTAATTTAAAATACATAAGTTAGTGCCCATGTGTTGTGCAATATAACCAAATAGAAAAAAAAAAAAAATGTAAGTAGGACTGCTGAGTGATGCCAGAGATCCACCCAAATCTCCCTGTGCTCAAGCAATGATCCCAAGACAGATGGAGGTATAGACGGTTGGTAATGTCCAAGAAGATCAGTTATTATATTATTATCGTCATGTCGTAAATTAGCCTACAAAGTACAATTAGGTTATAGGACTCTAAACAGCACACAGGGAATATCTATCCCCATGCTGTAGCCAACTGTTTAGAGTGACTAGTTATCCTTGTTTACCCGGGACATTCCCAGTTAGTCCTGTGTCAGCTGTCCCAGCGGATTTATCCAAAAGCAGTGATTTGTCACAGTTTTACACAAGAAATGTCCCAGGTGTTCCTATTTTTGCCCAATCTGATCCCTGCCAACAGTAAAGAGAGGCAAACATAGTAATTTGTTGAGGTAAATTACAGAAAAGCTGCTTAAAAATGACCAAAACACTAAGAAAATGACTCATGTAAGTTTTGAATGGTCTCTGCAGAACATTTTCCCTTCATTACGCACTCGTTTCACAATTTTATTATTCAACCCACCAAAAAACCGGGGATGTTCCTGTTTTTTATTTTGAAATTCTGGTCACTCTTCAGTTGTCTGATAACGACTTTAACGTTTGACCAAAATTGTTGCTAGGCGTTTGGGCTGCATTATAATCAAAAACATAATCGTATAATTTTAATGGTAATGCTCTGCTGCTGTGCGCCTCCCGCCCTTTGACTGTCTCTCACTGTGTGGCATCAGCGAGCCGCCATACCAACACTAGACCGGAGCAGCGTGGTACAACACAACAACCAGCCCCGCGGAGAGAGGAGTGTGCCCGCCCCGCCGCTGCTGCTCCGTCTGCGGACACCTCCACCACTGCAGCCCGGGCATGACCTCCAACAACACCGCCTCCTTCACGTGAGAGACTTGCGGATTTTCTTCGCCTTTGCCACGGATAAAAACTCGTGGATTTCCAAATCGTGAATCGGTAAGCGTGTGTCGGACCGTCCCACTCCGCTGTGCCCCGGGATAGAGGCGGACTATGGCGGAGCGAAGTGGCCGGCTGAGCTTCCCCGGGAGCGGGGCTCTGAACCGTCCCGTGCCCATGAACCTGTTCGCGACATGGGAGATAGACGGATCATCCCCCAACTGCATCCCGAGGTAAGAAGCCAGACGAGCGGGTGTTGTCTTGTAACTTCACCGGGGATTGCTTTGTCATGTCACCGGAACAGCTATAGCGGTACAGCGGTCCACAGCGGGCAGAGTTTGTCCCGGTGCCAGTGGGATGATGCCAGGGCCTGTCAGTGTGGCAGTGTTGGCACATAGCACCGTTGGTTTCTGCATTGTTTATTTACATGTGGAAACGGCTTACATATAGTGATATAGTCAGGTGTTAGGTTGCAAAAGTCAGGTTGAGCGATGTGTTAGAAGTTGCAGATTATGGATTAACTTGTTATTGTTGGAGGCATTTTCTGATGGTGTTGATTCTGGACCAGTAATCCTACCCTTCTGATGCCTTCTGATGACTCCTTTGCAGTTCAGATTTAGCCTTATTTCATGTTTTTATTTTAGGGACTCAAATATTTTTGAGTGAGCCCTGGGTTAGTTAGTTATTTTTAGTCACTTATTCAATAACCAGCAACCTGATTTGAAGTCTTCTCTGATTGAGGGTCTACCACCTATTTGCTAGAGGGTTCTTCATAGAGACAAGTGACATCACCATGCCAAGTTACAGGTCAGATCTGTGGAGACATGGCCTGTCACGATAACAAATTTGCGATATAGATTGCTGAATTAAATACAATAAATGATTGTATTGAAACCAAACCATAAAGCAGAATTATCCCCCCAAAACTATTCTAAATGTAGAATATTGCTAAAAATCATAAGATGCAATAAATACATAGCAGAATGAAACACTTTAGTACTTAGTTTGTATCTGTAATGAGTTCTAGAAGTTATTAATTCAACCTTTTATGTCTTAAATCTTATTGTATAACCAAAAACAACCAAAAATCTCCCAGTGGAGCAAAGAAAAAGTGCAGATGATAAATATTGATCTCAGAATATTTATCATATACTGAATGAAAAGTCGATATAGTAATTATCGTGAGTAAGTATCGCTTACCCCTCACAGAAAGAATTGTGTTTGGTTTATTCAGCCTATTTCTAAGCAATATAAACATTTGTAACTGAATAAATGCAAAATAAAAGTTTAATTCCACACTGTGAAACATTCCAGTCAAAGCACCAAAACTGTAATGGAGATGAACAGGTAACGTAACAGACCCCCCAATAGAAAAGTTTCACAGTGCGTCTTTAATTTTTTTTTTTTGTACATAAGTTACAAGCTACATCAAAGTCCACACACACCTAGCACTTCTTCTAAGCTGTCTGATTGTGTCATTTGGTTGGTGGCCTATTTGTCATCATGTAACTCTCTTAGTGTGAGAAACCTGCTGAATGATCTCATAGACTCATGCTGTGGTTAAAGCCGTGCTAATGCCCATAATCACGCAGTCAGCTGTCAGCAGTGATAACCCGCTTTATACCAGAGAGGCAGGGCTCTACAGGGGGAGAGAGAGACTGACCCCTCTGTCTGCAGAAGATTATGACCTTTTAAACTAAACTATCCTGAGAATTAACTGCATAACCTACTCACTGGAAAGTTATAAATCAATATATTTATTTTGTAAGAAGACTGTACAGCAATGCGTTAGAATGATTGATTCATCTGAATGGCGTAAGTGTGTTAGTGGAGCATATGAGCTGTAATGTAATAAGCCTGGTATAAACCCCATTCACTTCTCTAAACTTAAAGCGGGATATGTAACACTTGTGTTGTAGAACTGCATCATTCATTCATCTAGTCACAAACTGTTGGTGATAATGACATGATATGATATTAAACGTATCTATTTCCAATTTCTAGATCCGATTTGTGGAGAGGTGGTCCCGCTAACAGTGGAATGTATGTAGTAAAAACACCTATAATTAAATAATATGTTTAATGTCATACTGTGGTACATTCCAGGGAATGCAATCTCCCTAACATATCTCCATGGACACAACCAGGTGCTCAACTTGTACCAGAAAAGTTACATAGTGCACCTTTAACTGAAGCCACAGCTGCCCTGAGGCAGACTGATGCCATTTTACTGCCTCACAGACCACTAGTACTGACACTTTATAACACTAGACTTGATGCATGAAGTGTTTTGCCCACTGACACAACGACAGTACTAGTGAGAGTCTTAATATTTCTTTCAGTGAACTACCCCATTACTCTTACTTACTTACTTACATTACTATTTGCAAATTTCATAATTTGAGGTGAGTGAACTGTTAATCCAAGAATAGATGTATCTGTATCTTGTGTGTGCGTGCACAGTTTTACAGGGGTTACGTGTGTGAGAATGGTGAACATGCGCGTGGAGTGTTCGGAACACAAACCCAGTCAGTTCTCTCACGGCCCATCCAAAATTCTGTATTCCTGGTGCCTCAACAGGTATGTACTTGCATTGTGGGGCTCCAAAACTGTTTTAATGTACATATATATAACTTTTCCCCACACTCCTCTTTACTGCTTGGTAATGAGGCAAAGATTGCAGACGTTACCCACACTGACAGTGCTTTTTAAAGCTACAGCGGTCACAGAATGTTGTTTTTTTTTAAATTATATTTATATAGATTAACTAACTTAGCTTTATAAAGGGTACAATTCAGGGGGACTTTCTAGCTGGGGGGACTTTTCAGCTGATTTCTGTTTCTTGAGATTTTGAATACTTTTTTATTTTGAGTATATTTTGTGGGTACCTTTTATGCTCTCAAAAAATCATTGATGTTTTTCAAAGGTTCTGTTACCAACATACAGTCCCAAATCAGAAATAACATTATAAAATAATTTGTAAAATAATTTTGTCAGTAATTGATGCGTGAAGAAATAAAAAAAGATTTGCGATATTTAACCCTTTATTCTTTCTTGTTCTTTAGATAGACTGGAGCTATTACCTTCTTATCTTCCTTGAATTTCATATTCCATTACATGAGTCACCTCATCTTAAGTGGCTCAGTGTCCTGTAGATGTCAAATTTTATATAACTTAAGTCAATTAAATAAATCACCAGTATGGACTATAACTTATACAAAATGACAAAATTTCAGCTCCACAAAGGTTGGTTTCTTTTAAATTCATTGGCCTCTCTATTATCAGGGTTGAAAAGTTCACAATATGATGTAACTGCCCTTGTGAATATAATAAGGTCATCCATGTGTTATTATCTTTGGTTCAATCCCTCTTTCATCTGAGAAAAAACAGAAGAATGGAAGAGATGACCTTGTCCCCACTACAGGATTACAAGAGTCTGTTCAATATGTGGAGCCAATATGCAGCAGTGATCCATAAACCAGATCT